TTCTTAGTACCTCAGTTAGATGCCTTACTTCACCACTGTCAGCATTTCCTTTGGTCAAGGAAAAGAAAACCTACATTTAGTCCAACCACTAATAAGTAGCCTAGATTCTAAAGGCTACTAAAAGTCCAAGTAAATAGTCACCTGTTACATCATCAGCAGGGTCATAAGTCTTCAGAAGCTGCACGAACTTTCTCTTTCCTACAACTGTCCACACATTTGCAGACAAAGAAATTCTTAACATCACGTACCTACATAATCTTGTTTGCATATACAGTCATGCCTCAACGACGGGTATGCATTCTGAGAAATGCATCGTTAGGCGATTCTGTCGCTGTGTGGACGTCATAGAGGGAGCGTACACAGGCCTAGAAGGTACAGACAACTATGCACTTAAGCCATAGGTCTAGCCCATTGCTCCTAGGCTACAAGCCAGTACAGCATGTTACTGTAAAGAACAGTGTGAGCAACTGTAACACAGTCATAAGTATTTGTGCATCTAAACACATCCAAATGCAGAAAAGGTAAAAAAATAGTATAAAAGATCAAGAATGGTCCACCTGTACAGGGCACTTACCATGCATGGAGCTGGCAGGGCTGAAGCTGCTCTGGGTGAGGCAGTGAGTGACAGGTGAGTGAATGAAAAGGCCTAGGATGTTATGGTACACTGCTGTAGACTTTATAAACACTGTACTCTTAGGCTACACTAAATTTATAAAAATATTTTTTATTTCTTCATAGGTTACTGTAACTATTTTACTTTATAAACTTTTCATTTTTTTTAACTTTTCAACTCTTGTTACAACATTTAGCTTAAAACACAAACATTGTATAGCTGTACAAAAATATTTCCTTTCTTTATATCTTTATTCTATAAGCTTTTTTCTATCTTTAATTTTTTTTAGCTTTTTAAACTTTGTTATTAAAAACGAAGACACGAACATACACATGAGCCTAGGCCTACACGGGGTCAGTACCATCAACATCACTGTCTCCACGTCCACAGCTTGTCCCCCTGGAAGGTGAGCAGGGGCAGTCACACACAGGGAGCCGACGTCTGTGATAACACTGCCTTCTTCTGGAATCCTCCTGAAGGACCTACCTGAGGCTCTTTTTGAGGAGGTGTCACCCTCTTTAGAAATATGTCCATGGTGGTTTGCCTAGTTTGTTTCTTTTTTTCATCACAGATTTTCTTGTAAGCAGATAACGCACTATGAACAGTCTATGAATGAAAACCTTTCAGTGTTGGGCTCCATGTTTTGAAAGTTTTTAAGGAGCTTGCTGAGGTCTGCGAAAGCTTCTGCTAAATCCTTCCCTGTGAATTTTCTTGGCGGTTCTGTTCTTCTCCTGGTTTCCCTTCCTCTTGCCCCTTCTTCAGCTATGCGCTCCTGTTCCAGTTCCTACAACTCATTAGTGAATTCCGCAGGAGCCACTTCAAGGAGCTCCTCAGTGACATCCTCACCCACATTCAGGGTCAAGGTGTGGGCCATCTTGGCAAATCCTTTGAAGTCATGGATGAACCTTTTGAGTGTCTTCTTCCAGATGCCATTCATACACTCTTTGGTGACATCACCCCAAGCCCAATCAAGGTTCTTAATGCAAAACCTTGAACATATAAATGTTGTGATCTTTCCAGAACCGCATCAGGGTCTTCTCAGTGTGTCCCTCGACTTCAGCAACAGCCCTGGGCAAAGGTCCTCCTCAGGCAGGAGGCCTTAAAAGCTGCAGGGACTCCGTGATCCATGGGCTGGATCAAAGAGGCGGTGTGTGGAGGGAGAAACACCACTGTGATGTTGGGATGAAGATCACCAAGAAGAGGAGGATGTCTGGGAGCATTATCAACAATAAGTGAAATCTTGGAAGGCATGTTGTTCTCCAAATAGTACTTCTCCATTTCACTGGCACAGCAATAGGGGGGCATCTTGGAAGAGGAGCTGGGCCATCCACGACTTCTTATGCTCCTGTAGCACACTGGCAGCGTGTGCTTACTAATATGCTTGAAGGCTCTGGGGTTCTCACTGCGCCAGATCACAAAGGGTTTCCATTTGTAGCCTGCAACACTGCCCCCAAGCATGGCTGTTACCCTGTCCTTAAAGCCCTGAAACCTGGCATTGACTTGGCCTCCTTATGGATGAAAGTCCTTTCAGGCATCCACTTCCAGGATAGGGAGATTTTATCCATACTGAATACTTCTCTGGCAAGTAATTTCCCCCTATTATTAGCTTATCTAGAGTTTCCAAAAATTCTTCAGCTGCCTTCACATCAGCATTCACAGTAAATTCAACATCATAGTCGGGTTCAGCCTTTTCTTTCAACATCACAAGTGAACTTTTTGCTTTGGCCATGACCTTCATGATGCTGAGAGAGACGCTTCTGTGTCCGGTCTTCAATCCAGGTCACTGGAAGCCTCTCCATGTCTGATATAGGACCTTCTTGGAATTGTTAGTCTCACTGCCTTCAATGAAGCAGATCCTTTAACAGCTTCTGTTAGTTTTGTTCTAGTTCTTCAAGACTGCAGCTATGGTGGAATGGGACGTGCCTGACTGGATGTAGGGCAATAACTATCACTGATTTTCTACCTTCTTAGTCCTTCATCCCTTTTAATTTCATTTTCAGGTCAACCACTTGATGTGACCTCTTACTGGCAACATTAGCAGTGGATTTTGTACATTTAGGGGCCATGATGAACAAAACGACACAAGATTAAATCAGATACAAGAGAAAATGATGCACTCAAGAGACTCGGCAAACATGAGACGTATGAGGCTGCTGCTGGCGTAACGGCAAAGTAGAAAGAGTATACTCTTAAAATAATGATAAAAAGTATAGTCTAGTAAATACATAAACAAGTAACATAGTCTTTTATTATCATTATCAAATATTATATACTGTACGTAATTGTACATGCTATACTTTTATACGGCTGGCAGTGCAGTAGGCTTGTTTACAACAGCATTACCACAAACCCGTGAGGAATGTGTTGCACTATGATGTTATGACAGCATAATCATCACTAGGTGACAGGAATTGTTCAGCTCCATCATAATCTTATGAGACCACTGTCGTATGTGTGGTCCGTTGCTGACTGAAACGTCGTTACGTGTGGCACATGACTGTATTACTTATACACCACTTTTTACTCTCCAAAACTGTTTAACTCCATCTCAGTGTTTGGCTAAAAGAAGACCATGTATCTCTATGTTAATTTTTTTTTTAATTAACATCACAACAGGTATATATCAAGCAGTAAGAATGTCTATATTAAAATAAGGGGAATTGAGCAAAGTTGTTGGAAAAAAGCAAGTGCAGTCCCAGCAAGAGCAACTATAACAAAATGGAACTTTACAAAGGATACAATAAAACCCAAACAGTTACCTAGAAATAAATCAAAGAAAAGAAGTACAAGGACTTTATGAAGGAAAATTAAAGAAAAGGACCTAAATAAATTTAGAAAAATGCTCAAGAGCATAACTATGTCAATCTGCCCTCAAATGAAATCACTACAATTCCAGTAAAATCTCTGGAGGATTTTTCACAGAACTTGACAAGGTAATCCTAAAGTATATGACAGAGAAATCACAAAAGCATAGTGTTGAATGAATATAACAAGCTGTAGAAAGATCCTCCAATATCATTACATAATACTTTTAAATATACAAAATAATATTAGATATGGCTATGGATTCATACATATGTGCTAACAGTATAAGAGCATGTATGGGAACGATAAACATCAAAGTTAACCATCGATTAATTCAAAATAGTAGTTACTGGAGGAAACAGGATCAGAGAGGCATAAACTGGAGTTTCAGTTTTATTTATAATCCTTTATATCTAAAAACTGGGTAGTGGATACAAAGATGTTTATTAGATTATTCCCTAGTCTTCAAAGTCTTTTTTGTGTGTCTTAAATATTCCATTAAAAAAACAAAAACAAAAAACAAAAAAACCCAGAAAGCCTTTATCTAAGAACCATGTTAATAGCTACATCAGCACCACCTGAAGTGCTTGTTAAACACAGATCACCAGGCTATGCCAGAATCAGAATTTCTGGGAGGGGAGCCATGGGATTCCAACACACAGCCTCACTTGGGAACTCTTGGTAACCACTAGCTATGAACAACTAATCCATCAGCAAAACTGGTTCCAATCTGATGATGAGATATTTAAGTGGTTAAGATTGCCTAATCACTTTCCAATTGATGCAAATGTCTAGAACGTGGATTCTGATCTGAGGCAAGCCCGTACAAATTATAAAGCAGTATATCCTTTGCTGTAGCCCTCCCCACAAAGGTCATACGAGTGAGTACATGTGAAAACTGGTGATAGCATATAAAGTAATAGTATCAAAGTATTCCACAGCAGAACATAATTCCTTTACATCCTTCACAGTGAATATGTCACAGCAAAATTCCACCTAAGATGATAGAAGGTGCAAGCACCCTCAAGATGTGTGTCCCTCAAGTTCTAGATGGCAACAGCATGTGTCTTTACTTTCCTCATTGTTTTCCCTAGTATTAAAATCATAGCTAAATTTGTCTAGAGAAATACACAGAGCCAATGGGAAACATAACATTAATTTAGAAAGAAAATAATTAATTAAGAGTTACAAGTATGAGTACCACTATGATAATTGTATCCCCCTGCTCCTAAGAAATGAAGTTAACTAGGGAGGACTAAGTAGTTGGAATGCATGAAACATTCAAGGGCTGACAAATATATGTATTTTCCCTGATGTTTAAAAGTCACAATGGAGGGCTGGCTGAGTGGCTCAGTTGGTTAAGAGCTCGCTCAAGAGTTTGAGCTCTGAGCAACAGTGGTTCGAGTCAGCCCGAGCTGAGCAGCCGTGAGCTGCCAACAGGTGGCGGGATGGCTCAGCTAAAAAAAAAAAAAAAAAAAATTAAAAAAAAAAAAAAGTCACAATGGAAAACAAGAGGAGGAATTATTGTGTTATTTTAAACAACACAAATCGCTAAATGCATCAATGACAAGGACTCACTTACCAGGGCTTTCTACTCGCTTATAGTGGTAGGGATTGATGCACACCTCCTTTTGCTTGGAACCAAAAGGAAACTCACAGCATTCCAGTGGTTTTAGTTCATGGTGGCTCTGAAGGTCGGGCCAGCGCCACACGCGGCAGTAAATGACATGAGGCAGTCCCTTCCGGTGGGAAACTTGCAGCCTGCCATCCAGAGAGCGAGGAATGGTGACACAGTTACTGGGCTGCCCCGGGCAGCTCAGGGCCTTTTCCAGTTCCTCCATGGCCCCTTTCTTTTTCTTCAGTTTTTTCACCAAAGCATCAACAGCTTTCTCTGCCCATTTTTCTTCTTCATCGCCCTGTTTCCATCCAAGAAGTCTCTTCACAGCTGGACTTGTGAAGGAAAATAAACTGGTCACGTTCATAGTGACGGCACTAGTTATACACTCCTTGTATATGGTGAAATAAAGGAGTCTCCAAAATGCAAAACGACGACAGAAGCAAGTTCCCTTTATTTACAAAGAATTCTCTTTAGCTTCTTGGTTTTGAGGTCCTGAAAAGTAGAAATTACCATTCCTAGTGTTTCAAAAAGTAACCCAAAGTCAGCGCCTAGAAAAGACAAAAGGAGAAAAAAATGTTTAAAATCATCTCTACCACAAAAACCACAATTTCTTAAAGAATTACTATGGGCCAGGTACAGTTTTAAGTGCTTTTATCTATGCTATGAACTGAATTATGGCCTCCTTAAAACTCATGTTGAAACCCTAACCTCCAATGTCACTATATCTGGAGATGGAGGTGCTAAGGAATTAGGATAAATGAGGTCATGAGGGTGGGGCCATCATCAGATAGGAATGGTGGCTGTATAAGAGGAAGGGAGAGATCTCTCTCTCTCTCTCTATCCCCATGCACTGAGGAAAGGGTCATGTGAGGGCACAGAGAAAAGGCAGTCATCTGCAAGACTGGAAGAAAAAAGCAGAAACCAAATTGGCTGAAACCCTGATCTTGGACTTCCTAGCCTCCCCAACTATGACAAATACATTTCTGTTATCTAAACCACCCAATCTACAGTACATTAAGTCCTCGCTTAACCTCCATAGATTCTATAACTTTAAGCAAAAGAAGGTGTAAGGAAGCCAATTTCACCACAGGCTAATCGATATACACAAGAGTTATGTTCCTATGGCATCTCATCAACATTATAACAAAACAACATTGAACAAAACGACACTATTCAAGGACATGTATTTTGTTATGGCAGTCCAAGCACACTAACAATACACAGTACCCAATCCTTTAAATAATCCTTTCAACTAGGTAATAAAATCACTGCCATTTCAGATGAATAAACTGAGACACAGTTTAAAAAGTAGTACGTTACTTTTACATGAGTTCTGAGATAGAAACAATAGACACCTTAGTGCAAAAAAGTCCAAGTCCTCAACAGATATTTTTCTCTATTTAGATTCATTTATAGGTACCAAAAATATATTTCAAGACACACTTCAATCAACAAAAATTGAAAGCAACTGAAAAAAAATAAAAATACAATTGTTTTCGCATCTGGGTTTTTTTTTTTCCTATTAACATCTGTTTTTAGTTTGCTCAAGTATTTCTTGTGCTAAAAGGAAAGGTAGTTATATTTCTACTACGTAAATGTAGCAGCATTTTAGGGTATTTATTCAGCGAACAAACCTGTGTCTATGGGCTACAGGGCAAGTAAGGTAGGGAGTTTATTTCCCACTTTTTCAAATCTGCTTTTTATTGACGTGAAAGAAATGAAGCCCGTGAACACATACTGTACCAAATTCTTTAGTCAAGTTGTCTCATTTAAACCTTCTAGTTATTCTTCACCAGATGAAAACATGAAAGGTGAGAAAGATTAAAGAGGATAACTTTACACAAACTCTGGCTAAGATACAGTACCATGTATCAAAACAACCTCCTCCCAAAAATAACTATAAAAGCTGAATAAAATACTAACAAATTGGGGGGATGGGGCACGGGGAAGCTCAGCTTTTTAAAGCCATGAAGAAGCAACCAAGGTACTCAGGACTAGGGGGCCAAGCTGCCAGAGAGCAGGAAAAGGCAATGAAGCGGGCTGAACATTCTTCACTGCGTTTCTGCTCGAGGCATTTGCCAAAGCCTGTGCTATAAGTAGCAAGAGGCCTAGGAGCCAAGCTGAAAAAGAAGTAGGCAGAGATTTCAGTGGCCTCACAGTGTTGAGGAGACAAAAAAAAAAAAGTTAGAGTTGAGGGCCTGCTGAGGAGGAGTCTCTGGTAAATACACTAGGCTTTCAGTTCAGACCCCTCTAAACGGGTATGGCCTAGTGTAAGGGCAAAAATGAAATGGAGCCATTTTTATACTGAAACACATCCTAGAATTGGATCAAGGTGACGGGAGAAGAGGAGAAAAAACTGACAAGAGACAATATTTTCAGATACTGGCCAAGGCTTTTCCAAAACAGACAACAGACACCTAGCCACAGATTCATGAAGGCCTACAAATTCCAAGAAGGATAAATACAAAGAAATCCGCAAGTTTTGATGTATCACATCAAAGTAAAATTGCCGAAGCCCAATGACAAAATTCTTTAGACAGATTACTCTCAAATGTACAGTAAGGCTAACAGCTGACATTTCAACAGAAACAATGGAAATAAGAAGACAGTGAAATATCATTCCAGTGCGCTAAATGTCAATAAATAGCTGGTGACTTAGAATTCTATACTTAGTGGAAAAAAACATGCAAAAAATGACTGTGAAATAAGGATGCTTTCCAACAAACAAGATCTGAGAGAACTGGCTTCCAGCAGGAATTAGTCAGGCAGAAGGAAAAAGACCCTAGAAAGAAGCAAGCTACTGTAGGAAAGAACGAGTTCCAGAGGGTAAATAAGGGTAAATCTAAATGAATATTGACTTTACAAAATAATAACAGGAATCTCTTGTGGTGCTTCAAATATACAAATAAATTCATGGTAAAAACAGGGGAAGGGGATAAATGAAGTTGGTATTCTAAGGTCCCTGTATTACCCAGGCTGTGGTAAAGCATTAAATTATCAGTGATGTACGTTTTGAAGTCATGTCATAATACAACAACCCACTGAGAGAATAATTTTAAAACTATTAACAGGTAATAGAGGAGTTAAAAAATATGAGATTATTTTTTTTAAATATGATTAATACAAAAAATATAAGAAAGGAGAAAAAGGAGCAAATAATGGATGGGACAAATAAAAACCAATATGCTTTAGATCTACTCCTTGAAGTATCAGCAATTACTTAAATATAAACAGATTGAATATGCAAAAGAAGGCAGGGGTGGGATGGGGAGTACCATTTAACTATAGTGACTCACCAGAGACACACATTAAATATAAGAACAAAGAAAGGTTGGGAAAAAAAGGATATAAAAAGATAACTAAGCACAGCCTATCCAAAAAAGCTGGCAAAGCTATGCAATTAGACAAAATAAACTTTAAAATAATAAGAATCACCAGAGATTAAAAAAAGGGACATTTCATGTTAAAAGAGTTGATCTGCCATGACTATATAACAGTCCCCACCAGAATATATCAAATTTTTAAGCATGTAATTACAATCTCAAAATACATAAAGCAGAAACTGACAGAATTAAAGTGACAAAGAAACGAACCCAGAATTCAGTGAGAGATTAACATAGTAACTGATATACAAAAATCAATAGATATAGAAGATTAACAACATGTTTAAAAACTTCATCCAACTCATGTACATAGATCACTGAACCCAACAATAGTAGAATGCATACGCGTAATACTTTCAAACATACTCAGAATATTTACCCAAGCTAACCATATAATGAGCCATAAAGCAAATCTCTACACATATCAAAACCATACAAAATGTCTTTTGATCACAGCATAACTAAGAAATCAATAACAAAAATATTGTTATTGAAAATAATTATACTTTTAAATAACTCATGGGTCAAAGAAGAAAAAAACACAAGGAAAAAAAAATAAAAGGAACAATAAATTAAACCCAAAGAAAGTACAGGAAAATGAGAGCAGAAAACAGCATAGTAGAGAACCACCTATAACATCAAAGTCGGTTCTTCAAAAATACTAATAAAATGGGATAAAGGTCTAGGAAAACTAATTAGTCAAAGAGAAGGCACAAATTACCAATAACAGGAATAAAAGGGGAAAATTGTTACTGAGCCTCAGAAATTAAAAACATAATGACACTGAACAGCTGTCACAGCAAACAGTGCACTGTGCAGTAGGCCGCACGCCCATCTCCTCACTATAGGAAAATGATTGCGGAATTGATTCAATTTTACTGTCTTCCTGTCTTTGGAGCCCAGCACTGTACCTCGACAGAGCAGGTTCCCAATAAGTGTTTAATGAATGATTTAGCTCCCTGAAGAGATTAGAAGGCCAAGTATGGGGCTTCAACTTTATTCAATAAAATATGAATAAATATTACTAAATGTAATATTCAATAAGCTGTAGGGAGTCAGTTGTTTCTTTTTTTTTTTTATTGGGGAATTGGGGGGATGGGAACAGTGCTGGGGAATTGGGGGAAGGGGAACAGACAAGTTGCTGTCGTTTTTGTTCTTCAATCTAGTTGTGGAGGATGTTGCTTCACTGGCCCAAGTTGGCACCATCATTGCGCTCTTCTCTGGTAAGGCAGATAAGTCGCCGGCTTCTGGACGGCCGCTCACTGCGGCTGCTGGCCGCTCACGCTGGCTGCTGGCTACACACGGTAGCCCATGGCAATCCACTGCCACAGGGACTGCAGTCCACGCCGTTGCCGGCGACTCACGGCAGCCCAGCTCCAGGTTGAGCTGTTGTTCAGCATCTTAGCTGTGGAGGGCAGTGTCACTGGCCCTCATATGTGGGATCCGAACCAGGGCCCTCTGGCGTCCCAAGCGAGTTCTTAACCATCGCGCCACTCGGCCGGCCCCAGTTGTTTCTTTTTTTAAAGTAAAGCGTTTTATCCAAATTTACCAGGTCTTGTGAAGCTGGTATTATTTTCATTTAACAGAAAACTATGCTATTATCAAAAGTCACACTTGGCCAGAGTGTACCTATGAAAATGATCATTTACTAAAGGTTAGTTCTGCAAAAGAACGAGAAAGACAACTTCCATCTAGTCCTTAGTCACAATTTATGAAGGGAATATATTTCTTACTATTCTGGATGTCTTTTTCTGCTATTCCAAAAGCTGCTTTTTTATATTTTTGCCATTGACTTCCAAATAGAGGGGGTGTGTTTGTATCAAAGTCACTTGGGGCAACTTCCAACTCTATCACTGATAGGTCTGTTACATAAGGTAAGTGTGTTGAGCGTGTGGGGGCGATTAAGAACCACCATTTCAGACCTTTGTTTTAACTATTCAAATTGACATTCATTCAGCAAAACTGCACTGAGTGCCTGCTATGTACCTGGCACTGTGCTGTACTCGGAGGGCAGAGGCAAAGACACCTACACCCCGAGGGAGCTCACAATCTAATAAAGAGCCAGTATGTAAACAACTAACCCTATGGGGTGGACTGGTTTCCTCACATGCTCCCACCAGAGGTTTGCAGGGAGAAGGCTTAGGCCACCTGTGGGGCCTCAGTCA